CACACACTTGTCCTCCCCCAGTGGCACCATCGCGCGTGCAAGAACGGGACATGCTGGAGCATGTCAGTCAAATTGCACCAGGCATTGCACACACACACATACACACACACACCAAAATGGGCAGATGCATTTAATGAGCTGTGCGTGGCTCTGTGCAGCGGCGGACGCACAGCGCGCAGGATAAAAGACGGAAGACGAGAAAACCCCACGAGCGAATGCGGGGCGAGGAACCTGAGTTGCGGCGGACGCACAGCGCAGGGGGAGAAAGGCGGCAGACGGGAAAGCCTTACCGGCAGCGCGGAAGAGAGAGCCACGAGAGGTTCGAGAGCCTGGGCCGCGTCAGGGGGAGCACCGAGGCAAGCCGGAGGCGCGCAGCCTTTCGGCCGGAGCGCAAGGGGTGCCGTGCAGGTGGGTGCAGGGCCCCGAGCGCGGCAGGCCAGCGCAGCCACCAGCCACAGGCAGCACGGCGTCGTCAGCGGACGCAAGCGGCGGGCAGGCCAGGGCGAAGGGGGGCAACGGGCGACCGAGCGGCACAGCGGCGGCGAAGTCGCTGGCCCGAGCGAGCTCTCAGCTCGGACGCGTCGAAGGCAGGGGCATGAGAGCGGGGAAGGGGAAAGTTCCGAGCAGCGCGCGAGGCCCCTCGGCGCGCTACCCACGGTGCAGGCGCGCCTCGTCGCGCCAGAGGAGCCGCGTCGGAGAAGCGTACCGGATTAGAGGAGGAAGCCAAGGGAGGCAACGGCGCAAAACAGCCCGACGCTAAAGTTCTTAGCCGTGTAGCGCACGGCGGAGCACCAAGTTTCAAACACGCAAGCATGTTTAGTTGCAGTTTCGTATGGTTCCGTTTGGCCTGAAGCAGTTTGGTAGTTTGGTTAGTTGCAGCTTCAGATGTTTCCGTTTGAGCTTGAGCGTTCATGGGTTCGCGTGTGCGCGGGGAGAGGTCCGAGGAGGTTCAGGGGCAGTGCGGTGCTTACCACGCCAACGACCATGACCGGAAGCACAGTATTGTTTGCATTGCATGTTTTTTTTCCGCAGCATCTTGTTTTTTGCATGTCGCATCGTTGTTTCAATCTGAGCTTCAGAATTCCTGGATTCACGTGTGTAGGGGGAAGGTTTGGGGAGGTTCAGGGGGAGCGCGGTCCTCACCACGCCAACGACCATGACCAGAAAACTATTTTTGGTTGCATTGCAGTTGTTGTTGCGCTGCAGTTTTATTTGCGTCCCGCAGCTTTGTTCCGACTTATTCTCGAGCATTCCAAGGAACGCGTGTGCGCGGGGAGTCCGCGGAGGTTCAGGGGTAGTGCGATGCTCACCGCACTCCCCCTGAAGAGGTTGCATTGCATCTTCTATTGCCTTGCAGTTTTTGCTCGGTGCAGTTTTTTGTTGCGTCCCGCATCTTTGTTTCAACTTGAGCATCTTGATTCCTGGATTCGCGTGTGCGTAGACAGAGGTCTGGAGAGGTTCAGAGAGTTGCGGTGCTCACTGCGCCAACCACTACCAGAAACCCCGTTGTTGCGCACTGCAATTGTTTGTTGCGCTGCAGTTTTTTGTTTACGTGTCTAGTATCTTTGCATCACTTTGAGTTCGAGCATTCCAGAGTTCGCGTGTGCCCAGGGAGAGGTCCAGGGAGATTCAGGGGTAGCGCGGTGCGCACTGCACTCCCCCTGAAGAGGTTGTATCGCAGTTTTGTGTTGCATTGCAGTTGTTTGTCGGTGCAGCTTTTTTTTCTGCGCCCCTCATGTTTGTTTCAACTTGAGCTTGGGGAGTCCTGGGTTCGCGCGTGCGTGGGCAGACGTTTGGATAGGTTTAGAGGAGTTGCGGTGCTCATCGTGCCAACCACAATGACCAGAAACGCAGCTTGTTTGTTTCATGTGAGTGTTCGTGTTTGACTTGCAGTTTTGGTTGCGCTTCGCATCTTTGTTTCAACTTGATCTTGGGTATTCCTGGGTTCGCGTGTGCATGGGGTTGAATTACGGTGCTCACCTGGCTAACCACCATGACCAGACGCGCTTGTGCTTTGCAGTACAGTTTCTGTTTGGCGCTGCAGTTGAGGCCCTTAAGGGAATAATTTGGGGGCGTCTGCAGTCGTCTTGAAGCCATCATGGAGCCCTCTTGGGCCGTATAAGGAATCTCTTGGGCTGTCTTTGAGCCACATGCTGAAAACTGCCCGCCTACAATCCGTACAGTTTCTGCAAATGCTTAGAAACGTCATGATCACGGCGGTAAGGTGGGAGCCACACTTTGAAGACGACCCGCCTCAATCCGCGAAACGCCTGCAACTTTTTGAAACGAGCGCGCGCGATAAGGCGAGAGCCGCATTTTGGAAGCGACCCGCCCCCATCTGTGAAACGGTTTCCCGTTGTTCAGCTTGGAGCTCATAATTGGCAAGGGTTTATCGGGCGAAACGCCTTGCCAGCTGATCCGACGGCTTTCGTGTGCGACAAAGTTGAGCTTCTCATAAGGATAAGAAATGAAGGACAACGGCGGCGACGAAGACAACGAGGATGGGGAACAGGAGGAGGACGACGATAATGCCAAGGGCGACGACGAGGACGATGACAACGACGAGGAGGAGGAGGAGGAGGAGGACGACAGAGACGGTGATTAGGACGCGGACAAGGAGGTTGTGGTGTTGGTGGCGTTGGTCGTGAGGGTGTTGGTGGTGTTGTTGCTGGTGCTGCCGTTGCCGCTCTTGCTGTTGGTGTTGCTGTTGGTGTTGCTATTGATGTTCCTGATGTTGCTGGTGCTGTTGTTGCTGCTGCTGCTACTGCGAGTGCTAGATCACATGCTGCTGCTGCAGGTTTTGGTGGTGCCGCTGCTCGTGCCTCTAAAGGTGCAGTTGCTGTTGCTGTTGGCGCTGGTGGTGCTCATACTGTTGCTACTGCTGCTGGTGCTACTACTCATGATTATCGTGTTGCTGCTGTTTCTGCTGGTGCTGGTTATGGTGATGAGTGTGTTGCGGCCGTTGCTGCTGCTGGTGCTGCTGTTAATGGTGGTGGTGTTCGTGTTGTTGCTGCTGGTGCTGATGTTGGTGCTGCTGCTGCTCTTGGTGATGCTGCTGCTGCTGCTGGTGCTCATGCTGGTGGTGTTGCGGCTGATGCTGCCGGTGCTGCTGCTGCTGCTGCTGTTGCTGCTGCCGGTTGCTGCTGCTAGTGTTGTTGTTGGTGTTGTTGCTAGTCCCGCTGTTGCTGGTGATGCTGCTGGTGGTGTTGCTTCTGATGGTGGTGGTGCTGGTGGCGCTGCTGGTGCTGGTGTTCCCTTGGGGTCCTCTTAAGGCCTTGCGGGGTTCGCTTGGAAGGTCTCGGTGTCCTCTTAGCGCTTTGAGGGGCCTCTTGGAGGGCCTTTGGGGGGCCTCTCGGAGCCCTTGGGGGGGGGCCTTCTAGGGGCCCTGGAGGGCCTTTTGGGGGCCATATGAGGGGGTCCTCGACTTCGGCCCCCACCCCATCAGGAGCCCTCAGAATTGCCTCTTGGAGCCCCCTTGGGGCCCTTTTGGTGGACCTTGGGGTCCTCTTGGGACTCCCTTGGACGAGCATGAGGAGGACGCGGAAAACGAGGGAGGAGAGGGAAGAGGAGGAGAGAAAAGTAGGGAGTTGAGTCAGTAGCTTTTCCAGTTCTTCTGCCCCACAGCAAAGGAATGCGCTAAGGCATAAGAACTGTTCGCTTCAAACGGCTTTGAACAGCCCTAGAAAGAATCCCCGCAATGACGTAGACGCAAAACAGGGACACACACGAGCGCACACACACACACACACACACACTTCTTCGTCCAGCGCACCGATGGGGAGCAATCGACGGCGAGCTAACTACGCAGCAGACACGCACACACAAGTACACAAACACACGCACACACACACACACACACACACACGCACACACGCACACACGCACACACACACACACACACGCACACACAAGCACACACACACACACGCACGCACGCACGCGCACACGCACACGCACACGCACACGCACACGCACACGCACACGCACACGCACACGCGCACGCACGCACGCACGCACACACGCCCCCCACACACACACACACACACACACACACACACACACACACACACACACACACACACAAGCACACACACACAAACAAATACACAAGCACACACACACAGTTCCGACGACCCTGCGATGAGATGGAACGCTCTGGCGCGAAGCCAACTGGACGCACAAGCCAGACGATTAGGCCGTGTGAAGCTTCGCTCACAGTGGCGACACGACAAAAGGCAGAGAAGGGAGGGGGAAAGAAGGGAATGGAAGGGAAGGAAGGGAGGGAGAGGGGAAGTTGGGAGCGGGAATGGGACGGAAAGGGGGAGAAGAAAGAAGAGAGACAGAGAGAGGGAGGGAGAGAGACGGAGAGAGCGAGAGTGAGAGAGACAGAAAGAGAGAGAGAGAGAGAGAGAGACAGAAAAAAAAACAGACACAGAGACAGAGAAGGCGAGGGAGGGAAAGAGGATGGAACCAGAGATTAGAAGCGCGGGGGCCCGACAAGGCGCCCCCGACTACAGCGGTTGCCGCGTCGAGGACTTCGAGCTGCTGCTCCGCAGCCGGGAGCGGGTACCCTGTCCCGCCCCCCTCTCGCGACCGCACGTGAGAGTGACCCTTCGCCGGGGTGACCACATGGGGTCAGAGGTGGGGTCCTGAGGGACGGAGCCCTAAGGACGAGGTGCCTCAAACAGTGTAAGTCCACCCTTGGATGCCTTGCTCTCCTGAGGCCCCCATCCCCTAGGGCTCCATTTCTGAACCACCGATCGCAGGGGTCCCCCCGGCACCAGCAGGCACGCTTGGATGTGGCCCCTTCGCGGCCCCCGGAAGCCGCTCCCCAAAGGGCACTCTTTGCCCAGGGGCACTCTTACGTGGAGCACCCACCGGCTGCGCGCATGGGTGACCCTTCGCCGGAGAAACCTATGGCGCGCTGCTTCCAGGGGGGCGCAAGTCGGGCGGGGCTACGACGAGGATCAATCGGTTCCAGAGCGTTCCGGAACGCTCCAATAAGGCCCCGGCGCCCGATGCATCTTCCAGAGCCGCCAGGTCTCAGAGATTCTCGGTCCTCGTCCAAGTGGACCCTCGTCCTGGCTTCGTCTCATGACCCTTCGCCGGGGTGACCTCTGGCGCGTTGCTTCCAGCGGGCGCACGCAGGTTCCCAGACCCCCGACGGCATGATGTGGTGCTTTCATGACGTCGACCCCCAGAGGTCTCGACCCCTTCCCCGGGACGGGTTTCTCGTCCTGAGCCGTTTCCTGACGGTCCCGGGGCCCAGCGAGGGCCCCTATAGAGGCCAAAAGCTGTGCCGCCTTGATGTTCGCCAGTGCGTCGGGCGAGGGCCCCCTTGCGAGGGACCCCAGATGCCGGAAACGGCGGCAGAACTCCCGTCATGTTTTTTTTTCGTTGCGCGCCGCACGCCACGGCATCGGCAGGCCGGGCCCCGCGAAGGCCGCCCGCTGCAGGGACGTTCGCGCCTGCGTGCGGCCGACCACCGTGCCCGCCTCCCCGCCCTGCCACACCGCTCGGCGAGCAGGGGCGAGGCGTCCTGGCTTGCCCGTCCCTCTGCAGGAGGGCGATTCAGAAATCGTGGAAAGATGTTCTGGGACGATTTCTTGATCCTTCTTGACCATGCAGGAGCATTGTTTGTCTTTTTGTTTACTTTGTGCCCAAATCCGCCTGGAGGGGGACACACCCGACCTCACTGTAGGCCCACCAGAGAATGTCCTCAGAACCTTTCTGTGGTTGGCACGAAATGTGCTCAGAATATGTCTGGCTGGGGCTGTCTTGTTCCAGCATCGGCTGTATGTTCTAAGAGTATTTATGTCGTGATTGTACCATCTCTGGGTTTAAGAGAATTTCGTGGTAGGCCTATCGGAATGCCGGGACGGTCGGTCCCTGCTCAAGCTCGTCGGCCGAGGCGTTCCTGGCCGTGCTGATGTGCGATGTCGCAGAGAACCAGAGATCTAACGCATTGAAAAGAACAGGACGGAGTTGTTCTGCAATTTTCGGCCTCTAGGGGCCTTCGCCGGGCCCCAGGACCGTCAAAAAAACGGTTCAAGATGAAAAGCCGGTCCTGGAGAAGGGGTCGAGCCTTCGGGGACCGCGCATGAAAAAAAACACGACATCGGATCTCTGGGGATCCGACGCTCCAAGAAAAATTGGAGCGGCGGGCTTTTGGCTGTTTCTGGCCTCCGGAGGCCCTCGCCGGGCTTCGGGACCGTCCAGGGAAGTGGCCCAGACCTCTTGGGGCCCACGCATCGAACAAATTGGAGCGGCTGGATATCTGGGCGTTCGGGCGGAGTGCCGAGTGGCAGCAGCCCGGGCGCCGCCGCCGACGGAGGGCCGCTGCGTGCAGAACGTTCTTTCTTAGAGGGTTCACGGGACACCTTCTAGCAGAACGCTCTCTGATGACAACTTCCAGGAGCACTCCACGTGCGCATGGCGCCGCACCGTCTGGCCGGGCGGCGACGGCGACATCGCCCTCGCTCTCGCGAGCTGATCGGTCCAGTTCGCCTCGTCGGACCACGCCCCGCCTGTCCCCCTCTCGCCCTCCCGCTCGTTCCCCTGAGGTTTCCAGATGAGCCTCTGGAGGCTTCCAGGGACCTCCGGATCAGAGATTTCGAGAAACCTCTCGGGGAGGAGGAGGAGGAGGAGAAAAAGGCGGAGGCGGAGGACCAGTGTAAACGCAAGACTCATGAACGATGTCGAGATAGACCCTCCCTCCAAGTTCCCTCTTCATAGTCCCCTGCAAGGATTCATTCCCACTGAGGGAGTTGCCCAGTTGGGGGGCAAACGTTTGAAGATCCTGAAACGTGCCCAAAAAAACCGTTCTCGAGACTCCAACGCCACGAATCAATTGTTGCGTCTTGACGATCTTGGTCCGTGCCAGAACACCACTCCTAGGGTTGTAACACCGTAGATCAACATTTCTTCTGCGCTCTCTCAGTGCTGAATCGATCCAAAACACTATGTTTGGTACGTTCGCCATGCGGGTCCTACTACCTTTTTGCAATGTTTGAACCAATGCGCGCGGCGCGAAGGCGAGAGCCACAGCTTGAAAAGGAAACGCCCGCCCTCAATCCGCGAGGCCCCTCGCAATTGTTCCACACCGAATGTGCGCGGCGCGAAGGCGAGGGCCACATTTTGAAAACGGCCCGCCCTCAATCCGCGAAGCCCTTGCAATGTTTAAGACGAATGTGCACGGCGCTGAGGCGAAAACCACATTTTGAAAACGGCCCGCCCTCAATCCGCGAAGTTCTTGCAATGTTTAAGACGACTGCGCGTCGCTGAGGCGAAAACCACAGTTTACAAACGGCACGCCCTCAACCCGTGAAATTCTCGAATGTTTAAAAACGAATGCGCGCGGCGCCAAGGCGAGAGCCACATGTTGAAAGTGGCCCGCCCTCCAAATGCGAAATTGCGCCCAACTGTTGCGCTCCAGGATCATACATTGTGAGGAAGTCTCAGGCCAAAACACCTGGCCCCGATTTCGACCGGCCTCAGGGTGCGACAGGGAGGAGTTATTTACAAGGAAAGGGAACGGAGGAAAAGAAGCAGTCTCCGTCGCGCTCGTGGTTTTCGGTTCGGCTCGGCGCCGTCCCTGGAGAAAAAGGGAAGGATGGGGCGACGAAAACTATGCACATACACCGATCCTTGCTGGGCCCCAACATGGGTTCCAAATCGGTGGCCAGGGGGGCACATGCACCGATTCTTATTTCAGGGTGGTCTGGCACTGGGCCAGGATCGGCACATGCGCAGAGCCTTCGTCATTCCAGGAGGGGAGGAGGAGCGGAGGAGGAGGACGACGAGGATTCCCTTGCTCGCTCCTCGAGTTTCTGGGCGCCCTGGGGCGCCGTGGCACCAAGCACGGCGTTGTGCTCAGCGGCTGATGCCCATCCTCCTCGCTTCTTGGGCGGCCGCGCGATGCCCCGTTTGGCGCGGCCCCTCGCTATCCTCTGAGTTTTGGGAGCTCGGGTCCGTATAGGCCCTCGAGGCCTCCTTTCAGATGGAACGCCCCAAAAAAGGCCGCGCCTGGGATTCGGAATGTCCGAAGCTGCCCACGCGGGTCCCGTTATCCGAGATGATGTGTTAGTGTTGTCGTTGTTCTGCCATGGTCAGTGCATGGGCCCGCGGTCCAGGCTCTCTCGCGCGTGGTCGGGCCTTTCGGCCCTAGAGCGGAGGGGTGCTTTGAGCAGCTGGAGCGAGCCAGCGAGCCGACCCCACGGGGCGCCCAAAGCAGCGCCCCCCCCTGCAGCAGGCTCACACCGCGAGGCGGGACGGCACCCCGACCTTCCCTCGTCGCGGAGCCCCCCCCCCCCCCCCCCCCCCAAGAGCGGGCGCGGCTCGCAGCCGCGTCGGAGGGAGGTGGAAGACAGCAGCCAAGGCGCCGAAGCAACGACCTCTATCTGGGTTGAGGAAGGGCCCTCTGCTGTCCGGGCCGCTTCGTCGCTAGGCCGCGCCCCCCCCCCC